TTAAAAGAAAATTTCCAATATTAAAAAATTGTCCTTATCGAAGGAATTTTCTTTTGTAGTTAGAATTCGCAACAGTTTTTCTTTTTATCTAACAGGTTTTTTTTAAAAAGAAATCTAATACAAATTGCTCCCTGCAGGTAATACTAATGTGCGGTCGAGTCCAACGCACTACGGGTGGCGCACGTTATCGGACGGTGATGGTATCTCCCTATTCGGCGCAAAGGACATATGGATAGACCACTGCTCCTTGTCTCACTGCACGGACGGTTTGATAGATGCGATAATGGGATCCACCGGGATCACGATATCGAACAACTTCTTCTCCCATCACAACGAGGTGATGCTGCTGGGTCACAGCGACGGTTACTTGCCGGACTCCGCCATGCAGGTGACAATCGCCTTCAACCACTTTGGGGAAAAGTTGATTCAGAGGATGCCGCGGTGCCGGCATGGGTATATACACGTGGTGAACAATGACTACACGCAGTGGGAGATGTATGCTATTGGCGGTAGCGCAAACCCCACCATCAATAGTCAAGGGAATCGCTTTACTGCTCCTTCGGACCCTGATGCCAAGGAGGTATGAGAGACCCTTCAATTTCCCTTCATTTTTCTTTTGGTCTAATTTAAGCTTTAATAGCAAACAATTGATTTTAGGATATGTTTGGATAAAAATTATTAAAGGAAAGTAAAAGAAACGGAGGAAAAGGAGAGAGAGGGGAAGGAAAGTAAAAGAAACGGAGGAAAAGGAAAGAGAGGGGAAGGAAAGTAAAAGGATTATTATTAATTTTGTTTGGATTATTAAAAAAGAGAAAAGAGAAAAAGGGAAGATTATATATTTTTATTTAATTAAATGAATTAAAAAAATAATTAAAAAATAATTAAAAAATTAATTATAATTTTATAAATTCATTTATTAAAATTGAAGTCATAATAGAAATTTTAATTACATATTTTAAAAAAAATAAAAAAATAAAAATAAAATAAATGAAATTTGTTTGAATTCTCTCAAATTGAAAAAATTAAAAATAAGAGATTTGGAGAGAGTTCTTCTCCTTCCATCTATCTCTCCTTCCGTTCAGCTTCCTTACTATTGTTATCCAAATAAGAGAGAGGAGAAACCTCACCTCCACTCCTCTCCCTTTCCCTTTGGATTGGATTCCTTCAATCCAAACAGAGGCTTAGAGTTTGGGTCATTAAAAAGAAAAAATAAAGTTGAAATCAACTAGTGTAGATTTAGTAATTATAGAAAATGGCCAAATTTTAAGTAATTAAAATAATTAAATTTATTAATAAAATTAAAAAAATCTAATTTACTAATAGTTTGATATAAAAAAACTATCTTAACAAACTCTTTTTAATCTTTTAATGATTTGAATACTAATTGTTATTTGTTAATTCTAAATCACTAAATAAAAACTTTTATTAAAACTCTATAATAATTTTAAAATAAATAAATTTAATAAACATATATCTTATACCATAATAGTTTAAGTACCTATTATGTAACTAACAGCTATGTCAAAACTTTAAATGTCAAATCTTTAGGGTAGAAGATTTACCTTGTATATTTAAGGTCATTTTATTTTTATTTTTTATTTTTTGGTACATTAGGATCATTTTATTACTTATAAGAAACAAAACTCCTCTTCAAAAAAAATTGTTAACTCCTAAATTTCAAATGGCGGCAGGTGACTAAGCGATTGGACACGGCGGAAGGAGTGTGGAAAGACTGGAACTGGAGATCGGAAGGCGATATAATGGTGAACGGTGCATTTTTTGTGACGTCCGGGGTGGGTCTTGAGGTCAATTATGAGAAGGCCTACAGCACAGAGCCCAAATCCGCTGCTCTCATTGACATGCTCGTCATGCACGCTGGTACCCTTGGAGTTGGTGGAAGGTACTCCATTTTTCCTCTCCTTTTCCTTTACTTTCCCCTTTACTTTTCCATTTTGCAGATAAAACTCCCTCAGCATTTCTCGATTTATCACTACCTACCCATTACTTTTTAGCCCATCGAGCCTTAATGTTGGGGGTTAGCACATTCATATTGAGCTAATTTGGGCCAAAAATCATGCTCGGTAGAACTGAGCCTTTTGTTAGATTAATTTTAAACATACCTATTTTGCAATCTAGAATACATTGAATTGCAGGACACTTTAAATGACGGACACCACTGATTGTGAGATTAGATCCTTCCATCTAATTGTTAATGTTTTGCTATTTAGATTGCAAAGCATTCGAACTGTATTTTAATTAATAATTTGTTAGACTTGAGCAACTTTAACTGATGGTGGATGAATATTTGGTGATGAACAGAGGCAACAACCTGGGAATGTTTAGCACCAACGGTGGCCTCCCCGGTTTAAGCTCCGGGGATGATGACAACGACTACTATTCAGATGATTCGGCGGGGCACAAACTGTTATGTCTTTGTTCCTTGTATTTCTTGTACCTGATACACTTGGCCGTCGTGTTATAACATCAAATCAAGCTCTCATCATTTTCTTTCAACTGTCTTCTAAGGGGTTTTTTAAATGTAAACATTGAACAGCATGATGAATTTGAAAAAGGAGAAA